GGTGACGGTCAGGTAAGAGTCAGCAGGTAGATATTTTATCTGTCGCTCTCACTCAAGACACGGTTGTCCGCAACACTCATAGTGCGACCAACAGTGTGATAAAAATAACATTTTTAAATAATGTCGGCAAGTCCAGTATGACAAAACGCTGCGTGCCTTATCGACCAATACGTTGATTGGCAGGCAAAAATGAGACAGAAAATCAGCAAATAAAATGGAAAATGCAGACAATAACGAAGGGCACTCAATAATAAATAAATGAATTTCCAATCGAAAAGTCCAACGCATACAAAAAATGGGTATAACATACACACAATTGGGGTCGTGCAGGATTTTAATTTTTTTATCAATGAAATTGTTTATAAAAAAAAATGGACTAACGCAGTCGGTAGGACTCGAACCTACGCTCCCAGAGGGAATCTGATTTCTAGTCAGACGCCTTAACCACTCGGCCACGACTGCTGTCGATGAAAATTGTCGGTATGATAACAGGGACCTATTTTATCCATTGCTTTATGTGTTACATCGACCTCAATTCGGACGAGATGATGATTTCCGTCCAAAACGGAAATAGAAAAATGTTGAACTGCAAAAAAAATGTGAATCAGGTTCGAGAACGAGTTTCTAGTGATCTTGTGAGAGGCTTAGTGTGAAGTGAAATATATTAATAAATATACATGTAGCAGTCGTGGCCGAGTGGTTAAGGCGTCTGACTAGAAATCAGATTCCCTCTGGGAGCGTAGGTTCGAGTCCTACCGACTGCGAAATTTAATTTTTTAATTTTTTTTCAACACAAATTTATTATTTAATCGTTGAGTTTATGATTTTTACGATTTATTATGTCATTATCATTGCTATTTATTGAGGAAGTCAGAAAAGCTGGCATACATCTCTAGCTTACAGAGTAAATAGTGCATTTATGCTGTGTGTGCACGACCAACCATTTCATAGTCTCATGATAATACACTTTTATAATAGTTGTTCCAGTGACAGGCAAATTTAACTAGTTATATTATCAGAAATTTAATAACATCTCAATAATATTAAGTACAAAAATATTATTCATTATTTTAATCTTTCCAGTAATTTTCATCACTTTTATAATGAACAATTGTCTACAAAGTAATGTTAATTGGGTAGTACATCATGGTATCGAATACTTTCCATTGATATAGTAATAAAAATGAATTTTTCATCACGCTGTGACGAAAAGTGAACTTTTCGGCACGCTCCGCGTGCCTAAAAGTCCAATTTCCGCCACATTGTGATGAAAAATATTGTTCGTAACTCGTGAAAAAATGTTTTTTAGCTCGTGGATTATATCACTCGCCTTCGGCTCGTGATATAAACCTCCCACTCGCTAAAAAACACTTTTTTACACTCGTTACGAAATATACTATTGTACCATTATTGATTGATAAATTATTTGTTTCTTTTTTCATTTTCATTTCTCATTAGTATCGCAATGGAAATTATGTTTCGTATAATTATTCATTACGAAAAAAATCATAATTCAATAATAGAAATTATGTTCCGTTGATCCCTGATTTGCTCTGAAAAATTTGTACTTCTTAGGTTTGAGGGATTGTTATCAAAATTCATTAATTTTCAAATGCAAGAATAATAACGACCTTCTTAATCTACAAAAATTCCTTTTCCGCTGTGATAATTTTTTAATGGTCAACTCTTTCCTCATATGAGTACATCAACCGATAAATCTGGTCAATCTCCTCTCAAATCGAAAAGCAATCTCATATGGAATTCCAAATTCTCTGATTTCACTTTAACCGAAATTACACTTAAGGATGTACTACACCCTTTCGGCCAAAATTCACGTGTTTTTCATTTTTCTGGCAAATTATTGATCGGATTGATGCGAAATAATATACCGTTTTTGCGTTTTATTGTTATTGACTGACTCACGAAGTTTCACGGTAGTGCAATCGTTTTGCTGCATTTTTTCTAAAGTTTTGTGAATTTCCCAAAAGTTTTAGAAAAAACGCGGAAAAATGATTGCACGATTATGAAATTTCGTGAGTCATTAAGTAATGATAAAACGCAAAAACGGTATATTTTTTCACGTCAATCCGATCAACAATTTGCCAGAAAAATTCAAAAAACGTGAATTTTGGCGAACAGAGTGTAATACATCCTTAAATAATTAACCAAATCTCCCCCAAACCAAGTTATCTCCACTCTGACGTAATTCCATGAGTCGCCCTGAATATAATCAAGAATAATCCGGCGGTCATGAATCCCGAACAAACTGATGAAACCGAAATAAAACGTCAAGATTAATAAACCACGAGGCTGACCTGACCCGTAACGTAATAGCTCCATAAACTCTATTCTCAGCAGGGAAGAATGGAAAATTGTAGAAATCTCATTTGACATTTTTCATGCTTTAATCTCTCATTTGACGTTAATTAATCTCTTGAGTACATTGAAGCGGAGCTGAAATATTTGACATCAATCGGTTTCTTTTATTTATTCTTCCGAGCTACTGTCGCCTGCTATCACACGCTAGTTTTATCTAGTTCTTACACTCAAATCTGTACAAATATTGGGGCTCAATCAACTTCATTCACACTTAGTAATTGAAGAAACATATTCCGGATAAAGTTACGAAGACGAGAAAAAATAGGCCAAATTGTTGATCAATCAGATTTTCTAGTTGAGGGATTACCCAATTATCATCGCTCGTTTCTTCACATTCACATTTTCATCCGTCGATGATAAAGAAACGTGTGACGATATCTCTGATGATAACACTTCGCGTACTCACGCGATACCTCACGTGTTTATCTACATCAATCATTTTCATAATCTAAGCGGTTCGTTGTCTCCAAATTTCAAAGCACTCGTCAGAAAAATTAAACTGATTATCATGACATGAAAGATAATTATTCTGTTCTCCCTAGATTTGAAAATCAATCCCCCACCTCAGAATTAATTCTCCGTGTTGATAACATCAATCCAACTCAGTGCACAATTGCTCATTCCTGTAATTATAATAGAATTTAACGCTGAATGCGCTGTAAGAGGTCTCACGTGTGATATACGTGCACGTGTATCCAATTCCGTGTTCGATGCTTGATTAAGAATTCTTCCATAGATACCAAATATCTGAACAATGACTGATTAAATAGGAACGGGCCTGACGTATTTACTTCACCCGAAAGATAATTGCGACGGACAATCGGAGAAAAGAAAAGACTGAAGTGGAATGATTCGATTTTTATCGGTTGTTCAAAGATTTTTATCGGAATTAACACTTGACCGTGTGCGTAATGGAACTTTTTCCATTGTTGTATTTCCTATAATGATTTGGCCATGTCCCCCACCAGTATCCTGTGGAAAAAGTTTGATCGAAATGAGCGATCTAATCACTGCTAATATTTTACAATTTTTTGTATAATCGTTAATTGCTGCGCTGGATTTTTTTGCGTCGATGAACGACATCGACAGTAGTCGGATTATTATTGAAATTGTTTTCAATGATTTTGTCATGATAATCAATTCATGAGTATGGACAAATGATAAGTGAGAGGGTCGAGCACACATCAGCCTCGAAACATCCCAGATCCTCGCTCTGTTTAGACGCCTTTTTCTTACCTTGAATTCTCTAGTGCTTGTGCACCAGTGAGTGGGTAACAAAAAATAAGCAGTCGTGGCCGAGTGGTTAAGGCGTCTGACTAGAAATCAGATTCCCTCTGGGAGCGTAGGTTCGAATCCTACCGACTGCGGAGTAATATTTTGTCTCCTTCGGGTGGGTCTTTACTTAGCCAAATGAGGAAAAAACCGCAGTTGTAGCTTAACAGTTCAGGCAACGAGTCTGGTCAAGACATTAACACATATCGGAATTAAATATTCATCAAATCACATTCAATCATAAGAATGAAAGATTTTTTTTGTAAAGAAAATATTGTAGATGTTCCTTTTTATGTGGAATTTTTGATACAAGTGGCGAGTCTTACTGCTGCCAAAATTGTCAGTCACTTCGGATGAAAATGTTCATTAAATCACATTTAATCATGAGAATGAAGGAAATTTTTTTTCGTAAAGGAAATATTGTAAGTATTCTTTGTTCGTAGAGTTTTTGGATTAAGCGGCGAGTCTGACCAGTGCAGAATTATTAGCTATTGTGGGATAAAATGTTCATCAAATCACATCCAACCATAAGAATGGAATATTTTTTTTAGTCGAGCAGTGTCTGGCTGATGTTAAAATTATTGGCCACTTGGGTTTCAATTTTTATCAAATAATATTCACTCATAAGAACTGAACAATTTTTGCTTATTTACAGACAGACTATTCTAGATGTTTCTCTGCCTGTGTAATTTTTTATTTCATTATTTTTATGTTCATTGTTCAATATGTAGGACAATTACCCACAATTTCCTACACGAGTCACCCACGTTCATACACATAATAGATACTATAATTTATCATTCTGGTTATTCGGGCGTCAATGAGGGAGAGGGAGGGTGCGAATGGTGCAGTGATCACATGTGGTACGAGCCTCCTCCACGTGACTACCAATCTTCCAGTGACCCTCGTTCATTCGATAACAAAACTATTTGTGATCCTAATTCTAATTACCATAACTTTGTTTCCTCATCAATTTATTTAGCATTATCATAAATGAATGTAATTGCGAATTTGCAATATTTCTATTCTTGACATTAACGAATGATAAACTCACTGATTAAAAATCACACTATTGAATTTCGAAATATGTACTGAGTCATAAATTCCACGATAAATCATCCGTCGGAGTTTCTTAAATAAATATCGGGAAAATTATTAGGAAACATCAGAAAGCCTTCAGTGGCACTCGCAAAAATGTCGAAACTGCTGAATGAGGCGATTTTTATCGAGAATTTGAGGAGCAAAGGTAGATGTACTCATGAGTTGAATAATCAGTTTCTATCTTTCTCGTAATCTATGTGGCGGGAGAATTACTAGCCATTGCGCGCGCACATCCCCAGTTTTTTTTCCCGCCAACTTACGCGCTATATATGACGTCACACGTAGTAGGTCGTGGCACTCAGCTGACGACTGCATTCGGCAATCGAGGAACCGTGACGACCCGGCCGAGTTCAGGTACAACGTCTCTTTAAGTTTTTTTCTATTTCTTTTATTTTTTATAAATTCTGAGTGAGAGAAATGAAAAGATTTATAAAAAATTATTTGTAAAAAAAATAGTTTGAAGAAGTGATGGATTGTTTGATTTCTTTTTTAAATTAATTTTTTTTTGCGGAAAAAAAAGAAAAAAATATTGACATAAAAATTAGATTGACAAAGTGATGCATTCATTAGTTTTTAATTTTCTTCTCCTTTTTTGTTCTTAGATTTTCAAAGATGACACCGACAATAACAGCCCCGCGTGCCGAAACCCTCGAGCAAATGCCAAAAAATGACACAATAAAACTACGAGAACGGTACATCGGGTAAGCATAATAATTTTCACAAAATTTCATCATCAAAATTCCCCCATTATCCACACAAATGAGCCCCTATATTCCGGAAAATAGATAACCAAATTGAATTCAAAAATAACTTTAATCAGCTGTTTGTCCCAGATAATTAATCACCAACCAATCCCCGATTATTTATGAAATTCTGATGAAATATTCACCGGATAAAGCCAATTGTTTATTGTCCAGAGGTGAAACTAATATCATCCAATTGTGTAAAATTAAATCCACTCATATCCAGATAATATGTAACCATGGCTCGAGATTTATCAGGCACAATGTTGGCGGGGTCATTTCGATAACACTGGACGACAGGGGGAGGAGGGAGGGCCCTTTCAAATACCATCTAACGCGCAAATTAGCATATTATCGAGATACTACGACTCGAATTTGATAAAATGATCATATATATGGGACGATAATTCAAAGATGGGTTGGACACAGCCAATGTTACACATTCTCGTTCCATTTTCGCGGTGAAGAGAAGGGGCGGAGGGGGGGGGTCGGCAGAGAAATGGAGANAGGATTAGGAGCAGGGGGTTTTGGGGAGAGCACGTGCTGCTACAATTGACGTATATTCTCGAGTGTTGAAAGATATGGAGTTAAAAGTTATGGACCGTACGTGATTTCGTCAACTCCAGAAATTTATTATATGAAGTGAATTTTGGGTTTATTGATTATCAAGTCAACAATTACATTGTTATGATGATTTTTTTTGTTGGGGCAAAGTCGGGTAAAATGGACCATTTTTTACGATCAGTTAATCGATTTTTTTTAAGTTTGAAAATTAGTGAAATTTGTTATTGGAATTGACCAGTGTTTGGTTCGGAATTTTTACGATTACAGACGTTTTTTTCTTGATGATAGTACTATGACATGAAAAAATAAAATGAAGAATAGTGGAATAAGAATTAAAACAAAACATTGCATATTGTACAGTTATTTTTGTTAATAAATTAGCAGTATGCTTCCGAATGGTTCTTTTGCACGTAATTTCCTTATATCATGTATAATTCATTGTTCATTTCATTTTATTAAATTGAATAAGAGTTCTTTTCAATTAATTTTATCAGATTTTCAACTGAGTTGAATGTTATCATCATCATTATTCTTATTATCCCTTTCTTTTATACAATCGATTGTCTTTTTTACGGTTCTATCTCTCCCCTCAGCCCTTCGATGAAATGTTAATTGAAAAAATTTATTTACATGTACTTGAATGAATTTGAAACATCACATTTGAAATTCATGAAAAATTCTAAATTTTCAACGATCGCCATAAAAATCAAATCAACCAATATAGCTATCGTAATCATCTGTTAACTTTGACTTAATGGCATTAAAAGAAGCATTTTAAGCTATGACTGAATTTATTTGAAGCATGATATTCAACGATATCCCCAGAATTCTGATTTTCCAAAAATACAATATTTTTTGCAAATTTTCAAATCAATCGAAATAACGATTATTGCTATCGCCTTCATCTTTGAACTGAGCAAAAGGACATCCAAACAAATTTTTCAAGCCATCATCCAATCAATTCAGAACATTTTTTTTAATGATCGTGGGACAACCGATTTTCGAAAAAATTCGAAAATTAAAAAAAGTAATCGATGAATTAAATTTTAATTAATGGCGATCGATAGGGCTCAACAATACCAACATTTGAAAAAAAACAAAAGATTCAATTCCATTCATTTATTAGCGAACAATTGTAGAAAAATTTTGTTACATACGTACATACACTTACGGACCAGGTCTAAAAATGGCATTTTTGGACTTTTAAAAAATGCAAAAGTTAAATTTGAACGATTACAAATCCATGGAACCGAATTTTTCAACGGAAAGCTCCGGCGAGCGGGAGGTTGCTAATAGAGGAACCGCCTGTACCGGCATGGGTTGTCTGTGGTTTCCCCATGCTACTTCTATGTTCTATAGGAGTGCGAATGCGGTACAGTGTAGAATCCACAGATTGCTTATTTATAAACAAAAATCCAATTGTCCACCTGTTTTTCATGTATTCAATTTGTGCTACATGTGATCATGCATTTTTTTCGGAAATTCAATCTCTAGGAATTCATTGTGTGCAGGGACTTTTCGTTCTATTGATTATTAAGTCTATGATTGTTTTGTTATAATGATTCTATGGGAAACGAATCGTTGTTAATCATCAATTACTCATGATGGACAGAATGGAACTCTGTTTTTTATTTTTAAAATTTTAAGGAATTCGACCTTCAAAATGAGTCCCTGATTCATTCCAATTAAACCGCTGGGTCAGGAGATATTAACTATTACAGATAAGTCGTTTTAGCCCACTCTCCTGTTCTCTTTTTATGTTGCACTTATTGATTTTTTTTTATCGTTATTTTACATCGCTTCGACCCGGTTATTAGGGTATACTGCGATGATGATCAAAGACTGTAAAATGGCTAGATCGCACCATTCTACCCGACCGGGATTTGAACTCGGAACCTTTCGCATGTGAGGCAACGAACTTACCCACTGCGCCAATTCACCGAGCACTTTATTAATTTTTCATGCACTTGTCCATAACTTGTCCCTAATTTATCACATGGGGGAGTTCTCGTTTCATTGATTACTGAGTCAATTATTATTTGCCTATAATGATTTCCATCCGTTAGGGGAGAGTGGGGGAATTACCTGACTTCGTTTTTAATTTCCAAAATACTTTTTTAAGTATTAGTGGGAGACTACTATGAGTCTTAAAATTCGTGGACTTTTGGAGTGAGATTTACCATGCATTGAAAATCGATTATATATGTCTACAAACGAATAATTACTGCAGGAAAATCAGTTGTTTACTGTTCGTCTGCTCCGCAGACGCTTGAAGTGTTAAAAATAGTCCAAGACCTCCAATGTTCGAGCTCAGAGGTTTTTTTTCAAGATTTTTGAAAAAAGTGTACAACAGTAATTAGGAATTTTTTTAAATTGAATTCCTACACAGCTAATTTCTGTTTTTTTTATTAAAAACTAGGGGGCTATGCCCCCTGCTTCCTCCGCTCGCCAACCATCGCCATGATCCTTATTTTGACTCTTGTGACCATTAGTTTCTGACCCCCATGACCCTTATTTGGACCATTAATCTGACCTTTGTGACCCTTATTTGGATCCTCAATCTGACATTTGTGACCCTTATTTGGATCCTTCATCTGACCTTTGTGACCCTTATTTAGATCCTTAATCTGACCTTTGTGACCTTTATTTGGATCCTTAATCTGACCTTTGTGACCTTTATTTGGATCCTTAATCTGACCCTCCTTATAACCCTCGTGACCCTTATTTTGACTCTGGTGACCGTTAGTTTCTGACCCTTGCTTTTTGACCCCATTACCCTTATTTGGCCCTCATGAGCCTTATTTTGACTCTTGGACCTCATGAGCCTTATTTTGACTCTCGTCACTCTTATTCTAACCCTCATGACCCTTGTGATCCTTAATTTTGGAGTCTTAATTTTGAGACAATAAACAATTTTTTTTTTTTCACTAATTATTGGTTTTTAGGTATATAATTGATCTTCAATGTAAGAAAAATCTCACTCCAATAGCCCGAGACTTTTAAAACTCATCCAAGTCGAATGGTCCGGAAATATTGATGATTGAAGACGCTATGTTTACTTTATAATCCCATCATCCCTGTTGTCTTCAAATCCCACTTATGAATTTTTGTTCTCATGTATTCAATTTTTGTTACAGACAATCATGCAAGCTTTTCTACAAATCCAATCCCCTCAAAATAGTCCGCGCTAATGCGCAATATATGTATGATGAGAGGGGTGAGCGGTATCTCGACTGTATCAACAACGTAGCACATGGTAATAATACAATCGATTAGCAAATCTCAAATTCGTTACTTACACTCGTGCCCAATCTATTTTCGTCTGTCTGTTACGACATTGAGTATTGATGTTATAATAAAACGAAGGCTTGAACGATGACCCTGGTAGAAAGAACAATGATAACTAGGAGTGATTAGTCAATGGAAAATACCGATAGCGATAATTCGCATTTTCCCAGAGTGATAAAACTGCATGGAAATTTTCAAGATTAAATTTATCTGTTCAAATGAAACCAGAGCAAATAGTATTCAATAATTTCCGATAATAATGATGAATTAGGGGTTTTGATACAGATGCCAATCGATCGATAATTGATTTTTTGCTCAATAAAATGATATTTTTGTGCCCAAATGAAAATTTGTAATCGTTGATTTTAACGATCTTCTAATTTTGTCTAGAAATAATGTAGAATATCATGAAACGTGAAGATATGATGCATGTATGTCCTGATAAGTGCGCCAATTTTTCGAAATTTTTTTATAAATCTTCACAGAAAAAGGACTAAAGTTGAAGGTAAAAATCTGAAATTTCGCCACATAATTGGTATTACTCTGAAGCATTTCTGGGCCGAATTTCAGCTCAATCGGTCGAGTAGTTTCCGAGATACAGCAATTTATCAAAAAACTTTTTCCTCAATATCTCGAAAACTACGTGACTGAATTGAATTTTTTGACGTCAAAATATTCCTTGTGATAATATCTATCAAATCATAATATTGCTATGTAACTAGGGACAGTTTGGTAATAATCGGCATTTTTCGTTTTTATGAGAAAATCGTTTTGTGCACGATAACTACCGAAAAATTTAGATAGGATGTTGAAACTGGGTGAGATTGTAGCTCTTATGATATTGCAAGATGAAATTGTGGGTAGGCGAAATCGGACAAGTGCTTTAGAAGATATTCAACTTATTGTGAAAAACTGTTTTCTTCAATATCTTCCAAACTACTGGTCCGATTAATTTGATTTCAAAATACTCGTCTCGCCGCCCTCTATCAAGATCAGTCAAAATATGAATACCCGTTCACACAAAGTTTTCAAGATATTCGCGTTTTTCTAATTTTTTCAATTGACAAAAAAGATTTTACATTAAAGAAGGGAATTTATATAGCGTTCCACATCTTTGTAACGTCATAGGAAATGATTGGATGGGATTTGAATGAGGCAGGAGAGGAACCGGGATTATTCTCAATATGAATAACCAGAAAATTTTTACTGAAAAAAATTAATAGTCCAGACCGAGATTTGAACCCGGCATCTTCCGATTATGCATCAGAATCAACATTAGATTTATCAACCTTCAATTTCATTTTTAATTTTTATTTTCTTTTTCATTTTTTCAATGTGGTGTTCCATAACACGCGTAAAACTTGGAATAAACATCTGAGATTCTGGCTACTCATTAGTATTATTGAGCCACACTTGTGTAGACAATTTTGCGTCGATCGGTTCACTACATCTTGGTATAGAGCAATTAATCCAAAAATCTTTTTTTTCTAAAAAGTCATACATCATCATTTTATCGATTATTTTCGCCTCTGGGGGCTTATTCTCGACTTGTTTCTCATTATTTTGCAGTTGGCCATTGTCATCCGGATGTCGTCAAAGCTGGACAGGAACAGATGTCCTTGTTGTACACCAACAATCGATTTTTGCACGACAATCTAGTGATTTGTGCTCGGAGACTAACGTCTTTGTTACCAGAGCCACTATCCGTGTGCTACCTCGTCAATTCTGGAAGTGAAGCAAATGATCTTGCTCTGCGTCTTGCTGAGGCTCACACCGGAAATCAAGATACCATCGTTCTGGATCAGTAAGCAATTCCGATAGCAGTATCTATTTTGCAATGATTATTAAAAAATTCCAATCGCTCTCGACGAGTTGGGATTTTTTTCTGATAAAGGAAGGCAATATTTCATGTTAATCGATTCGTGAATGATTCCTTGTTGATTTTGTTGATCCTTATCTCTATTCGTTGCGTCTTTTTTGTGCCGAGGATGAGCGGAAAGATACTGTAAAAAATGTTTTGAATTTCATTAGTCAAAATGAATATTTCATATTGATGCAAATAATTGTTTTTATGTTTACGAAACAAAGAAATTTAACGTTTTTTACAGTCGACTTATTAGCGAATGCTGTAACCCTTTGTGTGAAAATTCCAGATAACGATTAATAATTAGTACGTGGGAAAATACTAATCCAGTAAAACCTTTTTTTGCCTGTTTGCAGCTAACGACATCTAAAGAGATACCTGAATTCTGCTCAACAGCATCTAAAAAACTATAGCAATCATCCCAAGGATTAATCGGTCATCATAATAGTCTTGTCATTTTAGGTGACACGAGACGACGTACGTGAGACGTTATTGATAAGAAAAACCAAACTTGGCCCAAGAAAAAATATTTCCTGCTTTTGTCGACAAATGTTAGACTTTTTAAATATTTTGCCTAGGAATGGAAGCTTTGTCATCGTTCAAATTCAAGTTTTAGATTTTTTGTGTTATTTGAATTCATTACGATTCAATAAATCCGAAAGTGAAATTTTTAGACCCTGTCCGGATCTATGTGTGCATGTGTGTATGTGTGTGACAAAGTTTTTCTTTAATTGTTCGCTAATAAATTAATGGAATATAATCTTTTTTTTTTTCAAATATAGGTATTGTTGATCCCTATCCACGGACATTAATTACAATTTAATTCATGTGTTAATTTTTAGAATTGTTGTATTTTTGCAAAAAACGGTTGTCCCACGATAACTAAGAAAAATTTTCATCACTTGTGCGTAATGTGAATCACGTTCCACATATTGCGAAGAAAAAAAGGGTTCGACACTTGTGGGAAAAGTCTTCTTTGACCCTTGGGAGGATCGCACTCGCCTTCGGTGAGTGAAGAAATTAGTATATTTCGATACGATTGCGGGAAAGTGTTTTTGGGCTTGTGGGAGGCTTATAGCACGAGCCGAAGGCGAGCGTACGTAAAATGTCACTTTACATACAGCTCGAGGAGAAATTATATTCGTCACTCTGCCGGAATAGCTATTTTCATCACGCTGTGCGAAAAAGTAATTTTTTAGGAACGCTTCGCGTTCCTAAAACGTCCCTTTTCCACACATTGTGATAAAGAATATCATTCGATACTCGCCTTCAGCTTGTGCTATGAATCTCCCACGAACCAAAAAACACTTTTCCGCACTTGTATCGAAAGATACTATTTTGTCACAAGGCCGAAAAAATTTTTCTGACGAGTATGAATGTTGCAGACCGAGGCGAAGCCGAGGAACGCAATCAGACGAGTTACGAGACCGCACTCGTAACTCGCCTGATTGCGTTCCTCGGCTTCGTCTCGACAGCGCCACCTGCTAGTGACTTTTCACTCGGTCGTAACCTGGGACATTACGTTTCGTACAATAAAATTTGTCTCGATTTTCTAGGTAATTTTTATCCAACTCTTCCCTCCACGTTAGTTTGATTTTTATGCTGGTGTTTATAAATTTTGAATTTTTCCGAAATTTCTCTCAACGTGAATTTTCCGACAGTGTCTTTAAATATGATGCTTTTCATTCATTCAAAAATGGATGAAAAATGTTTTTCAAACATGAAAAACATGAAAATTTTCACAGGAAATCCAACACAATTGATTAAAGAAGAAATATAATTCAATTGAACAAAATAATATGAAACGACAAAGAATATTCGATAGAAGAAATTGATGTGCAAAATGACCATTCGGAAGCATATTGCTAATTTATTAGTTGACATAGCTGTGCTGTATGAGGGCAAAAGCAATTTTCCACTTATTTTTTTTAGCGAATTGAATTTTTCCAGGGGAAAGTAGATTAGTAGCTTGAAATTTTCAGGGTCAGGGTGAACTCGTCCAAGGCCATTGCTAAAACCATGGAACCAATACTATGATTTGAAAATAATTGTGGGATCAATTGTAGGAGAAAGTACTCATGTGATTTCCATCTGCTTTTAGCGCTTACCATGGACATCTGACCTCGCTGATCGACATATCGCCTTACAAGTTTAATCAGCTGAAAAACGGCAAGAAGGACTGGGTGCACGTGGTGAGAATTCAAATGATTCTAGTCCAACATCCATTCCTCGACAATTTTTTCAGACCGAACCCTGACCATTTTCCACCCCCAGCACGTGCCCAAATCCAGTTCTCCCAGATGTTAAATTTAGTTTTTTTTTTTGGTAACAATTCTTCTCACTTTTTTCGTGAAGGCACCTTGTCCAGACGTCTACCGGGGAAAATATCGTGACTCAGACTATCCGAATGAGGATCTTGGTGAGAAGTACGCTGAGGACGTGAAGAGGATTTGCGATGATGTCAGATCACAGGGGAAGAAAGTTCGTGCATTCATCTCCGAGAGTCTCATGTCCGTTGGCGGACAGATTCTACCGCCCGAGAGTTATTACAGAAATGTTTATAGGTACGTGAGAATATTCGGTAATTTCTGAATACTTCTTCTCTGACATTTCGTTTGAAGATGCAATAATTCTTCTCAGTTTGTCATCCTGACATGTGTTGAAAGCCCATGTTGATTTGACTCCAGGGGATTCTTTCACTGGATGAAATCTATTTCATATATGGGGAAAAAAGTTGGAGAAAAATTACCGAACAAGTGCAGTAATCGTGCAGCACACTCGATTTTCAGTACTTTTTTACTTAAATAGGAGAAAAAGTGCGAGATTAATAGTGAATTTTTCTCCGTTGGTTCGGAAAAATTTACCAAACGTCAGGGTGATTTCTACCCAAACTGTAAAATTTACCCTGCATCTCATCAAAAATTATCGCGGTCAACGTGAATAATTGTTCCAATTTTTCGTATAATTTTTCTGCACTGTAAGAAACTTGTTGAAATTTCACGGAAGTTATCATAGTAAATCTCATGAGAGTGACATTGAACTGGATTTAGGGAAAAATGGTTATGAAATTTCAAGTTTTAAGTAGAATTCACGGAAATTTATGAGTTTTCAGTGCACGCAGAAAAATGGTTTAGTTGAATTAAATAAACTTTATTTAAATCAAATAAATCGTTTATTCGATTCTTATAGAGGATTTATTCGATTTAAATAAAGTTTACTTAATTCAAATAAACCATTTGTCTGGGTGGAAGTGAGATGGAAATTTCACAACTCGATTGAATTTTCAATTTTCCTGATTTTTCTGAATTATGATAATTATAATATTTGAACTAACAAATCAAGTATTTTATTGATTTCCCGATTATTTGAATAAAAAATCAATGGAATATTTGATTTTTGAATGACAAGACTTCCTGAAATTTCAGTGGAACTTGAACACGATAAAAATTTCCGGAATTTGACACGGAAAATTCACACCAAAACTTTCAACAGTGTGTAACGGAGAATGATTTTTATCGAACCCGTCTGAAAAACCCGGGTAAAAATTCACTTCCGACCGTCCCCATGACCTTCAGATGGCTACAAAGCCGAGGGGCCATTCATTTGTAAAATCACTGTATCACTCAGGACTGAAATCGCATGAAATCAAGTGAAATCAGCGAAATCCTGGGATTCCATCGCTTCCAGATGATTTCAATTGAAATCACTTGCAATCGGTGAAATCTCATGAAATCATAAAATCAGCAACTCATGAAACCCTTCTGAATAGATAAAAGAGAAAGAAACTTTCTACTTATTCGTTGTGTATTCTTCGACATATGCCCATTTACGTGTATTATTTTTATTTAAAAATTCTCGAATTTCAATCAATGACTACTCATGGGTATGTGGCCATTGGTCAATATCGCCAGTCAATTCCCCCCTCCCCCTCCCAGTGGTTACCAAGAAAGGTTTAGAAATAGATGAAAAGATGTATAAAGAAGTTATTAAATGTTTCAAATTCCAAAGACCGTTCATTACTGATCAGAGTGGACAATTCATTTCCTTTAGTTGAATATATGAAATGTACGTTGTTCTTTATTTTATTGGATAGATCGATATTCTATCGAATGGATGAAAAAAATGTGACTTTCATATTTTCACTTTGATGGTTTCATCCCTACATTCACCCTCTTTGTAACCCCCGTGCTTGAGCTTTCTTGCATTGATATGATGCATTTCTTTCTTTCCGGGTTTTATGCCCATTCCCTCCTACTTCATTCCCTCTCCGCCACTAAATAGATGAAATCGAAAATTTGAAATCACTTGAAATCGCTTGATATCGTCTGAAATCGCGAAATCACCAAAAAATCCCAGGTAATCACATGAAATCAATGATTGCATGAAATTATGGAAATCTCCCTGAAATCACGTGAAATCAGCAATCACGGTGTCACCAGATTTCCAAATGAATGGTGAACAGGAAACAGGAGGATAATTTTTGCATCCATAGATGTGTTTTTTTACCGAGAAAATCGTAAGATATCCTATCGTAAAAAGGAGAAAGGAAATCAATCTCGGAATATCTCGAAAATCTCGAATAAGCGTAAGCGTTAGACTGAAACCGAAGTGCCACTACGTGAGGAGATGAGAAGGCGCGTGCGTAGCACGCGCGATCGATCATGTCCTATCGTAAGGAGAAAGGAAATCGATCTCGGAATATCTCGAAAATCTCGAATAAGCGTAAGCGTTAAACTGAAACCGAAGCGCCACTACGTGAGGAGATCAGAAGGCGCGTGCGTAGCACGCGCGGCCGATCTTGTCCTATCGTAAGGAGAAAGGAAATCGATCTCGGAATATCTCGAAAATCTCGAATAAGCGTAAGCGTTAAACTGAAACCGAAGCGCCACTACGTGAGGAGATCAGAAGGCGCGTGCGTAGCACGCGCGGCCGATCTTGTCCTATCGTAAGGAGAAAGGAAATCGATCTCGGAATATCTCGAAAATCTCGAATAAGCGTAAGCGTTAGACTGAAACCGAAGTGCCACTACGTGAGGAGATGAGAAGGCGCGTCCGTAGCACGCGCGGCCGATCTCGTCCACTAAAAATAATTATTTTTTCCACTGCACCGATCTGCACTACATTTCGCTCCGCGATTACCATTCCCATAGTAAAATTTGTCACCATTTTTCTAGGTAATTTTTATCCAAATTTTCTCTCCGCGTACCAAAATCGATTGTGAACTTATTTTTATAGATACGTACGTGAAGCTGGTGGGGTATGCATTGCGGACGAGGTGCAGGTGGGCTTCGGAAGAGTTGGTAGCCACATGTGGGCCTTTCAACTTTACGGTGAGGATATAATCCCGGATATTGTAACCATTGGTAAGCCAATGGGCAATGGTCATCCAGTTGCGGCTGTCATAACTACACAAGCAATTGCGGACAGCTTTAAACAGACTGGACTCGAGTACTTCAACACTGTTAGTATACCCTTTGTTATGATCTCGCAGTAGGTGAACTATCTCTGTATTCTATAAAACGGAGAAATTATTTTGAAATATGGATTGAAACGAAAATATTTTCAACTTCGTTTATGCGTGCTTTATAACTCCTCTTTCCCTCTCTCCTCGAAGACATTGGAACAGAAGAAAGAATAATGAGAATGAAATGTAAACCAAGATAAATCTAATTTACCTCCTCCCCCTCGTCCCTGTCTATCTGGATTCTTCCGCAATTTCATTTAGAAAAAACAGAAACGATAAAATAAAATTAGCAGAATAATCTAAACTAGAATAAAAATAACGTGACTTAGTATCACGGAAACATACTCGTAGCATGATCAGTTCAGGGAGCAGCGAAATGAACGACTCCTTCTCTCCATTTTGGAAATGAAAACGGCGGTTTTAGGATTTCTCTGAAAATTAAAGACGCTTTCATCAACTTGCTTTGAATGTTCTCAATCGTCTGGGCCTCTCGGCCCGAAATTTCGCAACTGTTGGACAATATTCTTCCCTCGTATTCGGGAAATTGTTTTCCGAAAAACTAATAAATTTATCTATAAATTTATAATATATCTATTTTTGTGTACAAAATAATAGAAACCTTTCATCATTAAAAAAAAAGATTTAATTCCAAGTGTCAGCGTCGAATGATTAATTTTGTATTTATAAAAATTAGAAATATTGCTCGTTAATTGATAATTGATCATCTCGTTAATTGAGATGAAAAAAATACATTTTCTGTACTGCTCTCACTTTCTCCTGTTCGGAGATTGGCATTAACCCTTCTCCACGTTCGTAAAAGTGAAAATCACTGCAGAAGAATAGCGTCCAGGGGGCCTATTCTCGAAATATTTCCGTGCACGGAAGTGGCTTCGTAGACGAATTGCGTATAGGAATCATATAGGCGTTCCGTCAACGGAGTCGATTCCGCGCACGAAAATATTTCGAGAATAGGCCCCCAGGGCGAGTGCCATGGGGTTTTTTTACTCGCGTGGTTGGCCAGTCCTCGCCTGCGGCTTGGATGCCAACTCCACGCGACTAAAACACCCCATGGCACTCGCCCGGAAATATACGATTTCTCTACTTTAATTCACTGCGATACTAGTGAACTTAATCAGTGTTAACGTCAAATTTGTATATTTTAAGCTTCAGTCAAGTTGAACTGTGCAGTTCGTTCTGTTTCTATGTATTTAATACAGGAGAATGAAAATGACCACTGCGAGACTCCTTGTACTGAGAGAAAAACAGCAGAGTTCTCAAACAAGTCTTACTTGTGCAAAAAAAAATCGTTTGTTAAAGTTTATCAAACAAGTGGGAAATTGCTCTTGTATTGCATATGCTATAGTTATTCTTGTTAATGAATTAGCAATATGTTTCCGAATGGTTATTTTGCACATCATTTCCTTCTACCATGTATAATTAATTGTTTATTTCATTGTATCAGATTGAATAAGATTTCTTGTCAACTAATTTTGTCAGATTTTCAAATTAGTTGAATGGTATCATCATCATTATTCTTATTATCCCTTTCTTCTATACAACGGATTGTCTTCTTCACGGTTTCATCTCTCCCCTCGGCCCTTCGATAAAATATTAAAAGAAAAATTTTATTTATGCGTACTAGAACGAATTTAAAACATCACATTTGAAGAAACAGTTAATCTTTGATTACAATGGAAATGTTGATTTTCACATAAGACACTAGGTTAAATCCTGATTTTTAAACATTTCTTCTTTGAAAAACCAAAACGAAAATTAAATTGAGAAAAAAATTAGAATTCCATATCTAATCGAGTTTTCTGCAATTTTTTTGCAGTTTTCAATCATTTTTGAATTTACCGTAAGGGTAGAGCTACTTTAACGGCATTAAAACAAACATTTTAAGCTATGAGTGAATCCATTTGAAGCATGATATTCAAACATTCTTCATCAGAATTCTTCCGGAATTCTGATTTTCAAAAATTCCAAACTTTTGCGAATTTTCAAATGAATCAAAATAACGATTATTGCTATCGCCTTCATCTTCGAACTCGGTTACAAATACATCCAAACAAATTTTCTGAGCCACCATTCAATCAATTCAGAACTTTTGTTTTGTTATCGTGGGACAACCGATTTGCGCAAAAATTAGAAAATTAAAGAAACCAATCGATAAACTAAATTTTAATTGATGACGATTGATATGGCGCAACAGTAAGAACATTTGAAAAAAAAGATTCAATTCCATCCATTTATTAGCGAACAATTGAAGAAAAGCTTTGTTACATACGTATACACGTACACACACATACGGATGAGGTTTAAAAATTACATTTTGGACTTTTTGAATCAGACTTGGTCGATATAATATAAAAAATTCACATCTTGAATTTAAATGATTACAAAGCTTCCATTCGGTAACAAAAAAAGGATTTTTTCGTGCCAAACATACGAAACGTGCGCCCCGCCTTCGGCTCAGCGCGCCAACCTCACACAAGCCAAAAACCCCAGTGCCATTCGACACGGAATATACTATAGAAAATTGATGCCCAAGCATTCTTCTAAAAAAAAATCTCAAGAGAAAAATTTAAACAGAAATTCGAAATCTATTGACTTTTTCATATCGAATATCCAATAGAATCAGCGCAAAAAACAAATAGAATTTTTCAATAGAATTTCAATAGAAATCCTATAGAAACCCCATAGAATTTCCATAGAATTTTCTAGCGAATTCGCTACGTTTTCTATTGAATTTTTGCATACGTGATATTTCGTTGTTGTATCGGCACTTGCCCTCTACTTTAATAAATGGGGATATAGCCAATCAAAGGAATAGAATTTCATTGTTGTCGAAAGCAGAGCAATAATTCATGGTCGAGACTTTCAAAAAATAAATTTTGGTATTTTTCAACTAACAATTTGTTGGCCCAAACAAGACTTGTTTGAGAACTTATTCGTTTTTCTCAGCGCAGGGTAAGCACCGAAAGGTGATGTCGATGAATCAGTTTTACCCCCGGGACACCCTAATACACATATCACTTTGAAACAACTCATAAACTCCTCCAAATATGTTACCATTGGGCTGCACCCATCTCCATCAAGTTATAATACCACGAACGATGGAAACCCCTCACACAACAACGGAACAACGGTTGCCCTCCAGGATTGCCACATGCACTGATACCCCACCTACATTCAGCCCTTGAAAGACGGCTTTTACGATGCCGTTAACGGTTTCTAAAGCCGGCAGATTATCACACTCACTGGGTATAACCCTGAACACAGCGAATGAGAAATACTTCATGGTGCACAAGTTGCCTTTACGCAGCTCTATAAAAATCGTTCGCTCATCATAAAAAGTGGAAAGTTGTTTCGCCACTTTTTTTTATTAGGCTGTAAAAATATGAGGAACACTTAACGTTACTCCGGATAAAGGGCGGAAAGTTGTAAAAAATTTTAGACGAAAAATTTCAAGTTTTATTTTTATCTCTCTTTTTACAGTACGGAGGAAATCCCGTGTCGTGTGCAATTGCAAATGCTGTTATGGAGGTTATTGAGCGCCAAGGACTCCAGGAGAATGCAGTCAAGGTGGGTCAACACCTGCTCAAGGAACTTCTGAAGTTGAAGCAGAGAAGGAGAATAATTGGAGATGTCAGGGGGGTTGGTCTCTTCGTGGGAATTGAGTTAGTCAGAGATAGGAAGACTAGGACACCGGCTATTGCTGAGGCCAAGCACGTGGTTTCGAGGATGAGGGACGAGAAGATCTTGATCAGTTCTGATGGACCGGACAATAATATTCTGAAGCTGAAGCCACCGATGGTCTTTACGAACGAGAATGTTGATCATTTTGTGTCAGTGCTGGATGAGGTGCTGCAGGAGGTTGAAGTTGACATAGAAGAGGTTCGTAATCATAGCATATAATTTTTGTGAAAAACTGCACGTAGCGAAATATTCATGAGCTTCAAAATTATCGGGTATTTCAAGTTTTTCCTGAAAAACTTGAAAACTTCGTTTGTGTGCAGGGAACCTTGAGGAAAAAACCTGATTAATTTTGAAGCTCGAGTGGTATTCGGGAAAGAATTTTTCCAACCAAATTTCGGCCAAGAGAATTGCACCATGAGACGAAATCAATCTGTCAGTTTCGGTGAATGGTTCACTGAATTGAATCGGTACGTGACTTTTTGGCGCCGGACTTTTCAACATCATTTGGGTGTGTGGCGCTAAAAAGTCTGGCGCCAAAAGGTCCTGTCCCAAATTGAACGACCTTTTGGTTTTTTATATAGCAACTACCAGAGAAAATTATCAAAAAATTATCAGTAGTAATACCCCGAGAGCTTCAAAATGATCGAATATTTCCCGATAGCTTCATTGCAAACAAACGAGAATGTCAAGTTTTGTAGGTTTAAAAATCCCGAGCGCGAGCGCAATACAAAGAAAAAAAAAGCCAAGTCAGAAATGTCACATGAATGGCCATAGGGCCACACGTCTATGAGAAACATGTTTCTGTAATAAATCGAATAAGGATTGGAGCACAATTCTCTATGGAATTAAAAATCTGTAGAGAAGCAGGACCAACGGCCTTGGCGCGGATCAGAGCATACAGGATTAGATAGATACTCGACAGTGAGTTGAAAAACTCTGCGCCAAGGACGTCCTGCTTCTACAGATTTTTTATTCCATAGAGAATTTTTCTCCAATCCTTATTCGATTTAGAAATATTTTTCTCATAGACATCTGATTGTGCCCTATAGCCATTCATTTGATTTTTCTGACTTGGCCTTTTTTTAATTTCTTTGTATTTTTCAGAAATTTCTACTGTTCAGTAAGAATTAAATAAACAAAACTTTTCCTTGGCGCATTTTTTTTACAAAAACATTTGTTTTTGTTTTTTAAGGTGATTTTGCTAGTTTTTTTCAAAATGACCACATGGTTATTCTCCTTAAAAATTAACTTAATGACTATAATAATAATAATCTCTTTATATTTAAAAAATCCAAATCGACCTCTGGTGACGAAAATTGGGCACTTGAAATTAAGACTCTAAAATTAAGGCTCGCAAGGGTCAAAATATGGGTCATGAGGGCCAGAATAAAGGTCACTAGGATTAGATTGATCTAATCCTCGATTAAGGTTTACGTGAGTTGGATTAAGGGTCATGAGGGTCAGAATAAAGGTCCCAATCAGGGTCACAAGAATGAGATTAGGGGTCACAAGGGTCAGAATAAGTATCATGGGGGTAATATGGGGACCATATCGGAGCGAACACGGGGCGTAGCCCCCTATTAATAAATAATAATACAGTTATTGTTAAGCTATTTATAATAATTTAGTTACTCAATTGCAGTAATTAAGGTATAGTAAAAATCTCGATTGATCTTCTAGATTCCGGAAACAATATTGAAGGCCGTCATCACAACTGTCGACATCGATGCATCTGAAAAAGCGAAGGAAACCACTCCAGTAGCGATTCGAGCGAACTGAGGAAATAAGCCCTTCGAATATGATAGACCGAATTTATTCCTCAATTGAATCCAAATATTTCAATGATCAATAACCAGGGCAATTTCCTTTGCCCCAGTATAGCTGTAAATTATGAAGCTTTTAGCCTTTAATATCAAATCAGAATTGTGAGAATTCTGTAAATCCACATCGAGTGATTATTATTGATGGATTATATATAACTAGAAGTCTATTATTAGTAATAAGTGAAGATCTGTCAATCTATATTATTGTAGCTATTAATTATCATTGGACTGAGATGAAACTTCGAAACAAAATCATTGATCAAATAAAATGTTGAATTTTCTCTCTAAAAAAATGTTCACTTCTTCATTTCATTGGGGAACACGGAGAATATCGACACGTGGAGTACTCTCATCACAACATATTTTTCTCTTCATCAATGTATGAAGCTGCAGTGACGGAAGTGATGACTTCCCATCCTGAATGAACCCCACGAGATTAGAGGTCTCGATTATTATCTGCGATTGAAACATTGTAACTTTGTTACTGTTGTGTGTCAGAGGTCATAATAATAAAATCTCACATGTAGGACAGTCTGTTGATGACGATCCACATCCATGCCCCTCAGTTCACGAAGATCGTGCTGAGCCGGCACATTGTATGCATTTAAATATTGTGAAGTTGATAAAATTGAAGCACTCCAGTTATTACATTGACGGCATCAATATGTCGTTGTCAATAGTGGCTTTGCTCCTTGGTAAGTAATTATTTTCATTACGGAAACGGAATTCAATGTGAGAGATAATTAAATGAAGTCGTATACCGTTGGAGCAATTACCCATATTCTTAGGAATGTTCAATTTCATTTGAACATTCCTGAGGGGTTATAGTCATGCTTTGATGTATTCGCATGAGTGTGCGTAGATGTAGCTTCATATTTATGTGTGAATACTTCACTGATGAACATTAGATGGATACGATGAAAATGAAATAGTAAAAATTCCTATGTATAAATCTGTACGTAGTAAACATTCCCAAAGTTTAGGAAGTATTATTATGTCCATGGGAATGACTTCTATGGAACATCGCACTGGTGACTACGGGCTGTAGGAACCTCTTCAATGGCAATAGGTCCTCTGCGCATAGCAATAATTTTCTCTTCAAATTAAGACTTGAAAATCTGGACTGACGTTTAGAGTATGTGCTTAAGAAGTATTAGCATGCGACCATTACCGACGTCGGAGGCCGAGTGGCTAGATGCAAATCTAATGTGCGGAAGTTTGCGAGTTCGATTCCTTCTTCTTCTTCGATTGTTCATGGTACTGACAAAGTGTCTTGCGGCCGGGAGTTCGATCCCAAGTGGAACCGAATTTTTCAACCTGCGGCTCCGGTAAGCGGGAGATTGCTAATCGCATAACCGCTAGTACCGTCATGGGTTTCCAGGGGTTTCCTATGCTACTCCTATGTTCTTTTTGTCAATTCGACCGTAAGGCAGCGCTTTACGGACGCTACGCGTACCACCTGAAGGCGGGGGTTGCAATCAGATGAGCTAGAAAAGCTTTTTTAGACCGTGTGACGAACAATATTTTTTCCTTACGCTACGTGTCCGTGAATCTCTGCCTACGACCGTCATGACAAAAAATATTGTTCGTCATACGGCCAAAAAAAACTTTTCTGACGAATATGATTGCAGCCCTCGCCTTCGGCTCGTGCGACAAACCTCATATTCGCCAGAAAAGTTTTTTTCGGCCTAATGACGAAATATACTATTCTAGTTCATATGATTGCAACCCTCGCCCTCGGCTGGGACTGCAAACTCATATTCGCCAAAAGATTTTCTCGGCCTAATGACCAAATATACTATTCGCTTCTCGGTGTTACCTTACAAAGGCGCAGGGTTTACGCAGATATACGCACAGATGTGCATATAATACGAACAATAATTGTGTATTTCATGCATAGCTAAACAGGAAATCTGCCGTACTATGCGTGATTTACGCATACGAGAGAGATTTCGACGATTGCGTAATGTCCGCGAAGGGTTTTCCGTGATGACGATTCCACAATGGACGCATCGCGAAACATACGCAACGCGTGAAACAATCGTTCAAGTATTTTTCGATTATTTGTGACCATTGCAAGCGCTGCGTACAGCCTGAACTTGGATTCTATGTATTCTGTTTACGAACTTTCGTGCTCGACAGTACATCTGCCGTTGCATTCATTGTGGCATAAGTCTGAGTTCGATAATTCATTCACAAAACTTCTGTCACGCGATTCGCATTGAAAGTTGAATATTGTCGCTGAATTTCCAACTGAACATAACTGATCCGAAAACCTATGTATTCATATTAGATACAATGAAAAATACGCAATTTCAAATTGCAATAGCTGCTACAGAGATCGACAGGAATATTATTTCCATTATTAATACTTCATTACCATATCAATGGTTAATGAAAAAATTGAATTATGATTTTTTTCGTGATGAATACTAATGCCAAATGTATTTTTCATTGCGATACTAATGAGAAATGAAACTGAAAAAAGAAACAAATAATTTAATAAAAATAAATTCTTTTTTTATTAAACTAGAAATGGATAATAGAAAATTCAAAAATCCGATTACTTTTGTCACGAATAATGGAAACAAATTCATTTTTCATTATCATTTCGATATCCTATCGTGAAAAGGAGAACAGAAATCGATCTCGATATATCTCGAAAATCTCTAATAAGCGCAAGCGTATATACGTATGAAAAAATCCTATACGATTTTTCTGGTGAGATTTCCTATAGGATTTCCTATAGAAGTCACTATAGGGTTTTCTGTAGAAAGTAACACACAAAATTGAGACTCGAAACCAATCGGTCACAAGGGTCAGGATTAGGGTCATAAATCTGATAGAAGACTCTATAGGGAATTCTATAGGAAATCCTGTGGGAAATCCGATAGAAAATCCTATCAGAAAAATCTTATAGGAAATGTTTGAATTCTCCATAGGATTTTTTCATACGCGTAAAACTGAAATCGAAGCGCCACTATGTGAAGAGATGAGAAGGCGCATGCGCAGCCGAGCTCGTAGTAATAATATCCTTTGACCACACAAGATATGAAACACTATGTACACTCTCGTCTTCAGTGAAAAATGATTGTCCTATGAGGGACCTAACTACCTAACTGTTGAGTTTTTGCTCATTGTCCATTTTAATTCGCTTATCTTATTTACTTATTCGCTAATCTTATTTTACTTCGCCATTTTTTTAGATCTTTTTAAAAAATATTTAATTAATGAGATAGATTTCATCATTAATTAGATGACTATTCAATAATGTGTACCTATAATTGCTGATTGATTGAGTAATCGAAAGTTTTTGTGTCTGATTATCATCATAGGGAATTACATTTCGATAATCATTAGCCATTATCATAGTAATGAATATTTTGACGGTCAATATTACCCATTAACAGAATAATGAAAATATTTCAGTTTTCATTATTGATTAGATGAGCATTGAGAAAAATTTTCGAATTCATTATTGACTACATAAGTAGTAGAAAATATTTTTGATTTGATTATTGGTTGAATGACTATTCTGAAATATTCAAGTGTAATTCTTGATGAAATAAATAATAGTTTTCTATTATTCATTATTATTTATTAATACGGTATTTAAAGAATGTGAATTCCTCAGTACGCATTCATAATACAATGAAAAATATTTACACGTTATTAGTGATTAAGCAAAAAATATTTATTTATGGTGAAAGTATTGGTGAAAATATCCGTGCCGATCTCTGAACTGCAATGCAACTTTTCATCATGTTGGAATATAATAATTGTAATTATAAAAGTGTTTCCATAGGAAACCCCTTGTAAATAAGCGTGGAGGTGTTGTGTAGACAACAAGTGACAATTAAAGTCGCTAGACAGGTCGCCATTTTCCCCAGACTTCAGTAGAAATTTGAATGTAGAAAAAATAAATAAAAAGAGGAAAATTATTACTTAGAGAGATTTATTGATATTTTTAGACTTTGAATGAACGGAAAAACATGTATTTTCACGCCGTTTAAATTATCAAGGGGTTCAACGTATTCGTGAAGTCTGTCATAAGGGGATTCCCTCACACCTGCATTTTTCTACTCAGTTATTCTGTTTCAACGAGTAAATGGTCACTTCTGCGTGACTTTTGAGTGTTAGAAACCGGTTCAGACTTACGGAAATATTGTCTTGCTCTCTTTCACGGTGTTAATCCTGCTTTGGCCTTTTACTTTCCTTTTGTTTTGTGATTCAAGAGGTAACGATACCCCTTGCATGTGTTGACTTTTAGAATCGTCCTCGTGTTCATAGTTATTAATTTTTGGAAACCGAAAACTTCAGGCACTGCACAATATAGTAATGAAGTGATTGAAGTTCTTTTATTTCTAAAATTGATAACTATTCCCACCAGGACGATTCTAAAATTGAACCCATGCAAGGGGTACTGTTACCACTCAATTCCTTCCGTTCTCCGAGGATTAATGCGATGCGCGAGACCTCTTTACCTGTAGTTATAATTTCCCCGTCGATGGTCGTGGGGCAACCCCTCCCTTTAAAGCCTCAGTGACCACCGCTCTCCGAATGAATTCGAGTTTCTTGCAGAATGATTCGTTGAAACTCCTCTACCTCTAAAATTGGTGACACCTCATGGATACTTGATCGAGCTGAGAGTTGGAGGAGAATCTGAAATTGTATTCACTTCCAGTCCAAATTTGACGTCGTAAAGATCAAGGATATAAGTTGAACAGAAGCTGAACTGTTTATAATAGTCGATCGATGAAATATGTAAAAAGAATATTTAATGATAGTCAAATTATGAATTGTGTAAACATTTTGGACTAGAAGTGAATCCACTAGAAATCTCCTCCAACAATCAGCTCGGTCAAGTGTCTATAAGGTGTCGCCAATTTGGGGGGAAGGGGGGTTTAAGGGGTAGACTACTAAACCATCACATCATCGTCGTTTCCATTCAATTGAACGTGAAGACCGTGTATTACGTCATTATATTATCGCATCAAAAGTAGTTTGCGTTCAGTCCTTTGAGTGAGGAAATAGTCAACGCATGGGAATTTTACTAAGTGTCCGATTTACTAGTCTAACCATTCAATTGGAAAAGAATTATGGATGACTCAATCGATTACATGGGTTGAAGTACAAATTGTTTTAAATAATTCCGTGCAGCAAAACTGGGATATGATCTTCGCTGGTTTATAGCCCTAAATTTGCCGAGATCAGATGTTCATAGGACCATTTTCTATGGAACATAATAAACATTCTCATGGGACATGGTAAGCATTGCCATGACCATGGTAATCTTCCTCGTATTGCCTTGTAATTATTACCACGCCCATTGTAATATATCAATACCTTAATAAGACAAACGAACGTTCTATGAGTGCCCTATGTAGATACGCTTGTCTGTTATTAAGGTATTGATAGAGTAAAGGATCCCATGGGCCACTGCAGTATTTACTAAGGGACATAATAAGGATTACTATATAGTGTTTGTTGAAAGCCCTTCCACTATATCGTCATAGCATTCCTTTCTGGCCGTGATAACTTTTACTATTTTATTCTCTCCGCATCGCTATAATTATACCACATTACAGAAAACAGGTGAGTTCATTGATTTCTCTGTACTTAGCCGGAGTCGCCACCGCTGATCACAACAATGCCTGGAACACCCAGAATGAGTATCACTACAACCTGGAGAGTAGAAGTCTCGGGGGTCTTCCAGAGGTTTCAGATCAATACTCTGGAATCCTACTGCGAGGAGTCCTGAAAATACAACCCAAGAACGAGAAGACGCTTCTTGCAAAACTTTCTAAGGTTGAAATCTCTCCAATCCATACCCAACTGCCCTACGGTTGGGATTCGGAGATTCCTGAAAGTGCCCTGGAGCGTACGCCCTTGATCACTTCCGGCAAACCCTTCACGATCAAGTTGGAGACCGGAATCATCAAGGAGTTGATCTTTGACAAGGATGTTCCCACTTGGGAGGTCAACCTTCACAAGAGTGCTCTTAGCCAATTGCAGATTGATACGCAGGGTGAAAACATGATCCCATCCAAAAGTAATCAACCCCCTTCTGATGAGAAGAGCAGTAACGCTATGTTCAAGGCCATGGAGGACTCTATTGGAGGCAACTGTGAGGTTCTTTACGATATCAATCCACTTCCTAAACCACTGGCAGAACAGAGGCTTTACCATCTACCTGGTAAACAGTTCAGATCAGCAGGCGAAATGTTTGAGATCATGAAAACTAAGGATTATGAAAAGTGTGAACAACGGGTAGCTGTGCACTTTGGAATCCCAGGAAGCTTCGATTTCGAACCTGCTAGCACTAAAGATGGAGATTTCTTGTCCGTAAGTCCATCTAATATTAGCTTTATTTTCTGAGATATCGATCATGAACTGAATTAATTTGTGATAAATTTAATCATGTTTTGATAGAAATCTTCAATTAGTGAAGTAATACTCACCGGAAACCTCAAGACTTTCACTGTTCACTCATCAGTGACAACTGAAAAAGTCCTCCTGAGTCCAAACCTACACGATAGTAAGAGCGGAGTTGTTGCCAGCAAAGTGAACTTGACTCTGTCTTTAGTACGTCCAATGTCAAACCCCTGGCCAAGCCCATTAAACTCCGAATCTGTTGGAAATCTCGTTTATACCTACGAGCAACCGTTCTCCCCAGAAGGAGAAGATCGTAATCTAGGAGAGTCAACTATGAACCAGAGTTGGAAGAACCAAGAACTCGAAGGTGAAAACAACAGCGAGGAGAAGCCCCACGAACATCATTTCGATGACTCTAGTTCTTCTGAAGAGTCAGAAAACAATGGACCTCATCGTAAGGAGTTATATGTCGAGAAGAAATACTATTTGCAGCCCAAACCGACATTAAACGAGCCTCCCCAGTATCCGATCCTTCCTCTCTTCATTGGGAACAAAGGAAAGGTTCTGAGAGGTTCTGATAATAAGGAACTTGTCAACAAGGCTAAAAAGCTCGCTAGTGAAATCGGGCGCGATGTGGAGGACCCGAACTCCATTCCCCAGGAGCAAACACTTGAGAAATTCACTACTCTCATCGCCGTTCTGAGGACCATGAACACTCAGCAGCTGATGGAGGTTCAGAAGGAGCTTCATCAAATTTCTAAGGATCCTGATGAAGATGACGAAGAACAGAAGACCAAGAACAACGCCTGGAAGGCGTTCAGAGATGCCGTAGCCAGTGCCGGCACTGGTCCTGCTCTTGTCCTGGTGACTAAGATGATTAAAGAGAAGAAACTCGATGCACTTGAGATCATGAATGTTGTGTCTACTCTCCCCAAGACTGCTAAGGAACCTACACCTGAATACGTCAATGCCTTCTTCGTAAGTAATTTCGAAAACTCAAGAAGAGGAGCTTTAACCCTTCAGAACTCGCGCTATAAGCACCGCGCCGCCTTTTTCAAATTTTCGCTTGCCTCTTGCAAAATTGAGCTTTCAAAAAATTGAAAAAATTAGAATGCCTAGCTTGAATCATTTAGAATGGATTAGCAAGGTTCTCATCCGCTGAAAATCCATCAAGGCTACAAAAAATAACAAATTGTTGAGGCTCATACGCAAAAGCGGCGCCGTGCCGCCCAGCGCGAGTAACGAAGGATGTAAAATTTTCAATTCCGCTGTTGCTGTTTCCCGCTCGCCGCACGCTCGGCGCGTACCTATGAACGTGACAACGCTGCGTTACTGAAAGCACGGGCGGCGCAGCGCTCACCACGCGAGTAACGAAGGTCGGTGGCTGAGCGCGAGTTCTGAAGGGTTAAAAAAAATATTTATAGAGCTTTGATTATGAAAACTCATGATCAATTGTTCTCTGCGCAGAAATTGGCGGGCGAGCTGGAGTCCCGAAGAGAGGACGACCCGGTAAGTGATTTGAAATCATTTGAAGGCATGACAGTTTTGATACTCATCGAATTATCTGTTTGCTTCAAATCCTCCATTCAACCATTCATGTTATCACTAATGGATTCTTTGGCTAGATTACGGTCCTAGATATACACATATTGTGAAGGAGGGATGCACCCATTATCACGATAGGTTACGCGCAAGAATAGCAACGTGGACGCTAAGTCATTATACATATCGGAATTACCTCGACCACGCTACTGACCCCCAGTAGAAATTTCGTCAGGCAGACCTTTTGACAGAGAAGGCCCTGCTCCGGTATCGATATGGTATACCTGATTACGGCATGTCAGATCAGGGCCTGGAGGGGACCATTGCATGTTCACCTTACCAATAAATTTCAAACTTTAAGCAGGCATGCCTGATCATGCCCCAGTCAGGGCCTTTTGAGCGTACCGTGATAGAGAAAAATTTAAGTTACATCAGGCATGTCTGATAAGGGAAATTCAAGGGTCTTTGTCAGCCTATTTTGATTGAACACGAGTGCTTGTTGAGTATAACGGATACGGCCAACTCGAGAATCCTTAACTTCGAAAATTCTATAAGTTCAATACGGCGAACCTGATCCGGCAATGATCAGGTCTGGATATGGCATGCCGTACGGGACTTGATAACATTTTCACCAAACAAAGAGTCGGGGTGGAAATGGTAAAGGGGGGTGGATCGGAGGGGAGGGGGGATGATGATCAGGAAAATTATACTAATTGATATTATTCTAGATTTAGTTCAATACTACAATTTTATTGGGAGTATTATTGATATACTCAAAACAAACAATCCTTTTCAAGAATGATACGGTGGTCGAGTGGATAGGGTACAGAACTACTACGCGGAGGGTCCCGAGTTCAAGTCCCGCTCTGGGTGATTTGTTTTTTTTCTTTTTTCTCGATCCGCCTATTCTGGGACCACTATTTATTTATTTATTTATTATTCATTTTTGACCCAATTTAATAATTCAGTTAGCAATTTATTAATTTGTAGCAAAGTCTATGCCAGGTGAAGGTGAAACCAGGCCGCCTGTAACGGCCCTTATCAGGTTTAGAAATCAGGTCCTGATCATGCTTTGCGTTACATTTCCTATCAGGTCCTGATGTGGTAACCGTAACAGGGCCGGATTTTTTCTATGGCACAGCGGACCAGGGCCTGACCAGCCAAGTACTAAAATTTCTACTCGGGACTACGCCACTCACCGATATGATATGGTTGTACTATTATAAGTTCTATATAAGCTATATGGCTGTCATTTCTAATGACCTGCGCATGCGCCAGTCAACCTAGCCTAAGGGTGGTGTCACAATGAAGCCAACGCAAGGTTGCAATTATTGAAAATAATTGATAAACAGTTGAACAATTCTAACACGCATTACGTAAGTTTTACGGTGCGTAAATTGTGGCCTCACCCTGAGGGTCCTACCGCAATGAATGTAATGCAAGACATACGCAACGTTTGCAATTGGCAAAAATAATTGAAAAACAGTTGAATGATTGTTTCACGCATTGCGTAAGTTTTGCGATGCGTCCATTGTGGCATCATTCTTACGGTAATTGTGATGATACGTAGTATTGTGATTCAAGTTACTACAATCTCCGCCTTAACTTCATTAAGGCAATTAATGAAATTAATTTAATTGATCCTAATCTATCTGTTCACTTGTTTTATCTATAGAAGGGAGCATCAACCCAAGAAGCTTTGAAAAACGACGCCATTTCCACCTCCGCGATCCTTGCTTTCACCGAATTACTACGTTATGTACAAGTCAACCATCGCACTGCTCATAATCGTTACCCGGTCCATGCTTTTGGAAGCTTTAGTCCGAATACGAATGATGCTCTATTCCGCGATTACTTGCCGTACCTGGTTGAGAAGTTGGAGCAGGGAATTGAGGAAAATACTGCCCGTGCAACGGTATACATCCGAGCTCTTGGAAACGTAGCTCACCCCAAGATCATTGCCGTTTTCGAACCTTATTTGGAAGGGAAGAAACTGTCGACTGTTCTCCAGAGACAGATGATGCTCATTGCTTTGGATAAATTGATTAATCATTATCCGAAGGCTGTTCAAGGGCTCACCTACAGGTAAATAGAGCTGATTTGCTTCGAAATAGAATAAAAGAATGGTCGAGGAATCTATTGATTTTGGTGTATTGTATGTTTTCTTATTAGAATTTACCAAAACACTGGAGAATCATTCAAAGTTCGGGCTCTTGCCGTCTACTTGCTGTTGAAGACTAAGCCTAATCTAGCAATGCTTCAACGTGTAGCTCAGTTCACCAACTACGACGTTAGCAAGCATGTAAACGGAATCGTTAAATCCTTCATCGAAAATTGTGCAGAACTAGATCACAAAGAATACGAGGAGTTAGCTCGTGATGCACGCATGGCCAGTGCCTTCCTGACACCTGAGAATTACGGCGGGGAGTACTCGGCGGGACATATTATAGACAACTACCTGAAAGAACTCAACATCCACTACATTGCAGAGGTTGGTTGGATTTATGGCGAAGACAGCGCCATGCCTCAGGGAATCTACACGAGCTTCAATACCATCTATGGTGGTTTCAAAGTACCCCAGGATGAGACTGGTATAATGGTCTCCAGTGTGAAGGACTTCTACAAAACCCTGAAGCACCTGTTGAAGAATGTGTTGGGAGAGAAGAATGATCAGGTTGAGTCGAAGACGGCAGAGACTGCATCTGAGGCGATTGTAGAGATGCTTGATATTGAGGGAAAAAAGAAGGATAAATTCGAATTTTATTTCCTATCAAGGGACAAATATAGCAGTTCTTACTTTGTGATTGGCGAGGATATGCTCCACCCCATTCCTAAAGGTAAATGTCAATTCTATCGCGAAGCTAGATGAGGTGATGGAAGATGTTTTATGATTAAGTGATTGATGAATTCTGATGATTGACTGTTTCAGAATATATTAAGAAGGCTGCTGAATCTTTGAAAGCCGGCAAAAATTTTGACCTGATGAGTCTCCAAAATTTCGAAGTCACAGTTGGTCTACCAACAGCCACAGGTCTGCCCTTCACTTTTGACTTCCAGATCCCTCGTCTCCGCAAGCTCTCCGGAAAAGTCCAGGCGACCACCAGTCCAGACATTTCCCAAGAATCTACCGCTGGTCCCGAGAAGGTAAACACTGCCACAGACATTCGTGCTGTTTTCTCCCAAAAGGTCCAATCTCGCTTCCGTTTCGTGACACCCTTTGACGGTCAGCAGTATGTCACTGGAATCGATAAGAATCTCCAATTCCACCTTCCAATGAGCATCCAGGCTAACTATGATATCTCTAAGAATCAGTTAAGCGTTAAGATCGCGTCCCTGAACAAGAACGAACAATCCAAATTATTCCACTTCAGCACTGTACCCTTCACCTCTCTTTGTGACGTTGAAGATTTTAAGCCACTTTCCTCCGAGGATCATTCAGGCAAGTCGGTCATGAATCGGGATGTCGAAGACTCTACAAATGTCGTTGGCAAGAAAACAAGAGGAATGCTGTTCAAGATCACGGAATCTAAACCTGATGGATCTCCCAGTGCTTTGGAGAAGATCATCGACCCAGAGATCGAATTGGAACACATCATGTTCCCATTGGCAAAAAAAGAAGTCGAGTACTACAAGATTGAGGTTCTCGACGTTCCCAGCCCCTCAAGCAAGCAGGAAATCGACCTCGTAATCGGCTGGGACAGTATGTTGAAGAACAAGCCAACAGACAGCCAATTATCCAAAGATTCTCATCGGTGGTCTTCGAATCCAGAAGTGATCGAGCCATCAGATAAAAAGCCAGGTAGTCTATCCAGAAAGAAGCAGATGATGCAGGAGGCACTCAAGGACCTCCCAGTTGCTGATGCTGCAGCTGTCGACTTTGCCGTCGAATTGCCAGGAGAAGAGGCTAAGACTTATCTCATGACAACAGCTGTTGCTAAAAGCAAGGTTGACGGAAAGTTCAAGGCACTGGTATATGTTCGTACTGATGACGTTGCTACTCGTTCTAGGCCTTTCGAGGCTTGCGCTACGGTCCACGGATCAAGCCCTCGTCTACCTCCATTCGAAGCCAACAAAATCAAGAGAGAGGAACTCAAGAGAAGTTTGGATATCAGAATAAGCGTTGGAAACAGCTGTAAATCTGGAACAAAGAGTGATTTACATGCTCGCCAGTGGCAGAGTTCTGAGTTCCGGGAATTCGTTGAAAAGGACAAGAAGATGTATGAGGCTTGGGGAGTACCGATAACTTTCATGGATAAAGCTAGCTTAGTTGTCCATGAATCTAAAAGCGATGTTGAAGATCAATGGATGAATCATCCTAAGAACACTAAGCGTTTAGATCTATCCAAAAATAAAGCCCTCAACAAATTCATGGCTAATCATGACAGTGATTCAAATTCTGAGGATGAGGCATACGTTAGGCTTGATGTCGACGTCAAGCCTAACACTAAGAAGGCTAGATTCGACCTCACAGCGCCAATGATGGATTTCGATTATAAGTATGAAAACGAGCTGCCCTGGTCCATGGTTCCACTGTTGTCTGCTCAGGGTGAGGAAACTTACGAAGACAGGGACCTCAAGGCAATTGGAAATCGAGAATCTACCCACAGACTTTCATCTCCTGAAGGTATCTTCATGACCTTCACAAGTTTCTTCGATATGTTTCTTTTGACTTGCATGATTATAATTTTGTTTCTGATGAACTTCAGGTGTTTGTGTACTCGAGAAGGACTATGTGAACACTTTCGATGGTGCTGAATACCCCCTGAACATGAATCAGTGCTGGTATCTAGCAGTGACATCAGCCCCCGAGAAGGAATCAAAGGTCTCCAAGCCTGCAATTCGATCGGATAAACAGGCTAGCATCACCATTCGCAAAGATGAATCAGATGAGTTGAAACGGCAGATCTCTCTGTCTCTGGGACACGAAGAGATCCAATTGAGCAAACCCGACTCAGAAGTTCAGGTCAAACTGAACCGTAAATTGGTTGACCTATCCAGCGGAGTTTATTTCGATAAGGAAGGAGAGGAGGATGAGCTTGAAATAATTAAATTGTCCGATGAAGCTGTTCGCGTCAAGAGCAAGAAGTTCGGGCTCAAGATCACGTTCGATGGACATCGTGCACAGATCAAGGTGAGGACCTAATCCATTTTTCTCTCTTCTCATTATTTGGTTTCTCGATCAATATGGAAGATACGGGTCACAAAATTGAAAATTTAAATTTCCTTGAAAACAATCAAAATTCTTCTAAATTCTGTCGGAACCCGGTTACTATTATTGAATTGAACCGCTTTGAGACATACATCTAACAAAATTTATGCTCAGGTAGATGGACGGGGCCACCCACCAGCACTTCCTTTCTGAAGCAATTTCTCTCTATATTATAAAATCCAAATCGGTGATGAAAATTTGGTACTCGAAATTAAGACTCCAAAATTGAGAGTCACACGGATCAAGATAAGGGTCACGAGGATCAAGTTAAGGATAACAAGGGTCAGATCAAGGGTCTAAATAAGGGTAATAAGGGTTAGATTAAGGGTCTCAATAAGGGTTACAAGGATCAGATTAAGGGTCGCAAAGGTCCAAATAAGGTTTATGGGGATCAAAAATCGACGGTCAGCAACTAAAGGTCACCAGGGTTAAAATAAGGGTTACGAGGGTTTTGATGATGATCAGATGAAGGATCCAAATAAGGGTCACAAGGGTCAAATTAAGGATAATAAAGGTCAAATTCAGGGACCAAATAAGGGTCATGGGGATAAGAAATCAAGGGTCACACGGGTCTAAATAAGAGTCTCTATATCTCTCCATATTATAAAAATCCAAATCGACTTCTGGTGATGAAAATTTGGTTCTCGAAATAAAGATTTAAAAATTAAGGGTCAGAAATGAAGAGTTGAAATAAGGGTCGCGCGGGGTCTAATGAGGGTCCACGAGGGTTCGAATAAGGGTCACAAGGGTCAGAATAAGGATCATCCGGGTCAAATGGGGATCATATGGGGGTGCGAGCATGGGGCGTAGCCCTCTAGTAATTTCATAAATTCAAATAAATAAGGTTTTTGTTTTTTAATTCAACGTATGGTGAAGCACTTTTTCAAAATATAGCCTCACTAGCATTGAACATTACTCAGAGTTCGCGACGTGGTCGCCGCTGATATGAACAACGGACAACTGTCTCATTTAAATTCGTAATTTGTGGCCCCGGTCGTCCATATTGACCGAGTTCTCAATTTTTTTGCAATCAATTCCATCTTCTTTTTAGGTTGACGACAAATATCGCGACTCAGTCCGTGGTCTCTGCGGAAACTTCGACAGTGAGCCGTCAAACGACTTTTTGACCCCCCGCAATCGACTGAGCTCAAAACCGCAGGACTTCACCTCTCTCTACATTCTCCCAGTCAAGGAATGCCAGTCAACCTCCAAGAACCTTCGCGAAGCGGAGAAATCACTTCCCCTTGACAAACCCCGACTCAACAATGTCGTGAGTGATCGTGAAGCGGGCCGTACCACCCACCAAGGAAAGTGGGGATCATCTGACACACCGAGTGTGAGAGACAACAGAAAACACAATACCATTGTTAGAACGAAAATCTTCCCTACTGATGGCAAGACCTGCTTCTCCCTCAGACCACTACCCACTTGCGCCCCAGGAGCTTTACCAGCACGTGTCAAGAGCGTACTGTTCCCCGTCTACTGTCTGCCTAATGGAGAATCAGCTAAGCGTCTGTCAGATCGCATTCATAGAGGTGCTAATCCCGATCTGAGCCAGAAGTCACCTTCGATGAAGGTGAAGCTCGAAATTGCTGAGCATTGCTCCCCGGCAGCTTAATCCCGTTGATTATATTAAGACGTACAATTGTCCCAGGATACGAATAGTTAATCGCTCAATCCATTATTCAATTTGTAAGAAGCAACAGAGATTTAGGTTTTTAGGTAGTAAATAAGTGATCATCTGCTTCCGTGATTTTCTCTTGTGAGAAGAAATCAATAAAATTATTCATCACCACTATTTGCAAACTGAATAGGCCTTGTGTTATTATTGTGAATTCATCTTCATGTATGGGATCTCATAGATATTGATGTTTTGCAATCGAGTGATTCCGAAGGCACGGGCTATTGGTACACTTGATATTCAATTTCATATCAATTAGAGCACAAATAGATTGGACAGTATAGTGGAGAGGCTCTGGTTTCAAATAGATTGATGACATTCAACTGTTAGTAGTTTAAAGAGAGATTCACCTGAAAATTAAATGTCTGTGGTGGGTGAATGCGCCTTTCAGGCGATCTTTGATATAAGATGGGACATTTAAAAAAGTAGGAAACATGTCGAGTTCAAGCGATTTTGCCTTATTTTTGATGATAAAAACTTAATTTTTCAGATTTAACCTTAAATACACTCCATCGACCACAATTTTCACCCAATTCAATCTTTCATTTTTATTGAGTATCAGTTTCTTCAAGTTTGAATAGATGATAACAAAATCAATTTTTTTTTCATTTCCTGTCATTGATTTCTTTTATTGATTTTCTCATATAGCTAAGTTTTTCATAATGTCTATAAAAAAGTTTGTTTTAAATGATTGAAGGGTCACAATGTCACAAGGCAAAAAAACAAATTTCTCAAGTTTTCAAAACAGATACCCAGTTTCTTTTTTTTGAGTCCAACAAACATTAAAGAAAATCAAAGTCAGATGATAATTGTGGTTTGCGGAGCATTTTTAAAATAAAACTCGAAAAATGCGGTTTTATGATGAAAAATGGAGCAAAATGGGTTCAGTTCCACATGTTTTATTTGTTTTTCTTTTCACGTAACAGACTTTAGAGTTTGTAGTGGGTCCCACTTTGATCGTTGATGTTATTTCGAAAATAAATAAGTTTGGTTATAATGACCCGAGTCAAAATTTTACCGGCCCATGGACGTTGAAAAACACTCAATATCCACCGTATATTAAGCATACTCTCAATGTTAATGACGTTTGTTTGCTGTTAACGTACGTTGTAAGTTTCGACGTCCATATTTGATTGTATCAAGATCATTATTGACGATAATTAAAAAATTCATTACCGTGTTAAAGACTCACGTAACTAAATTATTAGTATTAGTACCGTGAGTGTCCCAATTGCCGCACGGAACCCCTTTCCCGGACGCAGAGCGCTCTTAGGATAGAATTTAGCATTTATCACATATTCACAGTCATCATGTGCATTTCATTTTGTTACATGCGATTGTCCAATTATTCACCTTCAAATCACACTATTGACGAATGTTCCACGAGTTTCATACAATTATTAGAAATTAATCTACGTAAGAGTACCCATGGCTGGTCTCTGAGCTGGTGGTTGTGTAGTGCGCGAACGTTAAAAATCATCAATATTGCGTAAGGATCAAACAGCAAAATGTAAGTGAACAATTGATTTTAATAGGTTTCTAGTAGTTGAGCAACAAATTTGGAAAAAGCTGAAATGAAAAAAAGAGAAAAATAATTGTTTTTTATGGAGGAAATGTTAAATCCGGCATCTTGGACAACTGAATTCGCGGTTGGAGGAGTTCCCGCACATGTGATTTCCAACCCTTAACCTCAATGTTTTTTTTCTGTCAGTTTCTTTGCTTTCATAAAGATATATTATTTTCTGAAACTCTCGTGCATTAGATAATGAAAAAATTATGAGAATAAAAATAAAAATAACGAATATAACAAATTCATTCATTTTTTTGAATCTTCTAGGCCTGGAAATACAGAAAAAAAGCCCGCAAATATACCAATGAGGACTTGCGGAAATCTCTGAAGACTGTCAATTCAGGAAGGACTCTGGGATGAAAAAAAAAGAACTTTTAGATAATAGTTGTGGAGACGCTAACGATTCTCACAGCCCTCCCGAAAAAATCCCTCTAAATGAACCATAAACTCAAATATTTTATTGTCTCAACGTTTTTGTTTGTCTATTATTGTGTTGATCACAGTTTATCATTGTTGAAATAGTAATAAAATTACACTTAATATACTTTTCACAACTGATTTCCTATATTTCTCTGCCTCTATTTCACTGTGTCCGAGAATCGGGCACACGATATCCGGCAACCCGGCTAGGTCAGTTTTAGTCGTCCGAGAACTCGACCATAAGAGCTATGATGGTTTTTTATGAATATTTATCGAATTCTTCGGAATTAAAGTTGAAATCGAATGTCTTTTTGTCAAAAAATAATCAAAGATGACTCATAAACCTTCAGAATTCATAATTACAAAAAAAAAACACAAATTAAACGCTATTGTCTGGTAGAATATTCTTAACCGTGCGGCAATTGGGACACTCACGGTACATTAATAACATTAGTTCGAAGTTTAAACAATCCTGCGTCTGAAGGGTGAGTTGGGTCCAAGGGTCAGAAGGGTTAGTTGAGTATAAGGAGCAATTGAGTATAAGAGTGAGATGAATATAAGGGTGAGTTGAGTACGCGAATCTAAGGGTCAGATAAGTGAAAGCCTCAGTTGAGATTGAATGTCAGTTGAGTTTAAAGGTGAGTTGAGCCTAAGGGTCAAAAGAGTACGAAGGATCAGGTGAGCTAAAGGTCATTTGACTTTTAGATTGAACTGACCCTTCGACTCAACTCAACCTTTTACTCAACTGACCTTTAGATTCGCCTGACCCTTCGTACTCTTTTGACCCTTAGGCTCAACTGACTCGTAGATTCGCGTGATCCTTCACACTCAACTGACCCTTAAATCCGCCTGACCCTTTGTAGTTGTTTGATCCTTAGACTCAACTGACTGTTAGATTCGCCTCATCCTTCGTACTCAAATAACCCTTAGCCCCATCTGACCCTTGAACTCAACTGACACTTGGACGCAAGTGACCTTTAAACTAAACTGAAGCCTTTGCGTATCTGTCCCTTACTCAACAGACTCTCAAATTCACATGATCCTTCGGACCCAACTAATCCTTAGACCTATCTGACCCTTAAACTCAACTATCACTGAGACGCATCTAACCTTTAAACTCAACTCAGACTTCTACTTATCTGACCCATACTCAACTGACCCTTATATTCACCTGACCCTTCGTACCCTTTTGACCCTCAGATTCGTGTGATTCTTCGGACTTGGCTGACCCTTATATCCATTTGGCCCCATGCTGAAGGTTTTACGCTTATTGATAAAAAAAAACCCATCTGTCCCTCATACTCATGTGAGCCTTATACTCATCTGACCCTTCAACTCAATTGACCCTTAAACTCAACTGACACTTGAACACAACTGACCCTTAAACTCAACTGAGCCTTTTACTAATCTGACCCTTACTGAACTGACCCTTACATTCGCCTGACCCTTCGTACTCTTTTGACCCTTAGGTTCAACTGACCTTTAGATTCGCGTGATCCTTTAGACTCAACTAACTCTTATACTTATCGGATTTTTACACTCACTGACTTTTATATGAAGGGTCCGACCCTTAGACGCCTTAGACCTATATGGACTATAGTTCCGTCTCATCTCCTCCCCTGCTCCTTCCCCCTTAATTTCCTGTATTACTCTATTGCCTACTTTCTTTGGGTTTTTTCCTATTTTTCTTCTTATTAGTTGCTTATATAAACCCGAAAAAATACAACTCGCCACAAGCAACTGTACAACTCAGAAGCATACCGGGATATCCTGCGATCACTGAGCTTGAGCAGTAGCGAGTAAAACCAGAAAAAGGATGGGTGACCGAAAGGGAACACGGCAGAACTACAAGGAGGGATATCTCGAGAACCAATGGACCGATCCGTTTTTTTTATTTTTTTCCCATTTTTGTTTCACCGAGTTAATAATAGTTATATTTTTGCCATTCTTCCACCGATTAATTAATGCAAGATTTAATCCATTAATCGATGTTAGAATGAAAATGGTAGTGTGAAGAGAGTAGGGGGGAGGAAGGAAGGAAAGAATGTACGGCGGAGGAAGGTTGGGGATACATTTAGTTTCAATCTAATTTCAACGTACAATCTGGAAAAATGGAAAAAAGAGACGGTATTTACGTCGAAAGTAGGTTGAATCGGTGCATTTGAGCCTGTACACTGGACAACGTACTTTCAATGTCCTGAACCCACCAGTGAACCTTTAATCTACGTTGGGAGACACGGTAAAATTTCGACTCGGGGAATATCGTGATATGAACAACACGGATTCATCGAAAAGAAAATAATCGGAAAATTTAGTTTCTGGTACGACCGATCCCCAAAATTTTGTCATTCATATGCCTAAAGGAAGAATCTCACTCTATCCCAACAATACAACACCAGAAGAATAGAAGGCGCATCGGTCCTAACACTTGAAAGAAAGTTAGTCTAATGAAGTGGGCATGGAACTATGGAAGGTCAGTCGGAGCCATTAATCCCACCGCAAACATCAACTCCATTAGAAGTACTAGGAGCATTAACACCACCATAACCATCCACGCCAGGTCTCTAGCCAATTCAGCGTCGGCACATCCTCAGCCCTGAGGGAGTCACCAAATTCTTCAGACATGGCACCTGAGTGATTGTACTTTATCGTTTTGAAATTTCAACAATCGAAAATCATACAAAAATACAAACATTGCACATTTATTGCCCATTTATTTCCACTAACATTTTTCTACATATTCCTTGGTTTTATCTTGGACCTTTTTTGTATTTTAAAGTGTGCACTGTAATACATTTCTATAAAGGCAATTAGAGGGTTTCTTTCTCCGTACGTGATCATTTCCAACTCCTCTGGATGACAACCATTGTATACTTCAGTGTTCAATCTTACACAATCGGACTCCAACCTATAGAAACTTTTTATTCCGTTCTCTTGATACATATCTGTTGTGATTAGCTACGGTCAGGCCGACCTAACGGGTCACCTTTTTCTTACTGTTTTGTGTCATCCGGTATCCGTAGTAACTCTTTTAGGGTGAACAGTCTAATGAGCCAATTTGTAAAAAATCGCCAGAACGGCCGCTAGAGGGCTAACCCAAGTTAAAAAGGGAGGTACAAATCTTACCACTAGGCGTTTGTATCTCTCCGATGCCATGTATAAGAAAATGAAGAAAGTGGCTAATTGTGGAACACTCAAGGCTCTTTGGAGTTTCAGACAATAGTTCGAAAAGATAGAAAAAAAAATACTGGTGGATTCCAAATTCAGTAGGTTTCAGAAAAAAGAAAAAACATTATGTCATTATGACATATTATAGAACATTTTCGCCAAATATGGAATATCCTGCGCCTATTTACGGAACATTAACTCACTACTTTGTGAGACGGTGAAAGGTTAGGAACCCGAAGTAATAAGGATATTTTTGTAGGAAAATGTCAACAAGTTCAGATTATAATTGAAAATTGAAATGACGATGCAAATTTTATTGTGCAGGGAAACTCTTACTAGTGAACAAACGTAGAAATGAGTAATGTCGATCACATGAATACATAACTCGACTTTTTTTTGTATATGAACTTGTCAGAACAATTTGGCGTGGATAGAAACA